GTTGTCATCCATTGCGACGATTCAATTCCCGCCATTTTCTGCCATTTTGATTTTTGAAATTACTAGAAACTACTATTATACTTCGCTTTTAGCATTCATGTTATAATAATATATTAATTGAAATGAGAAAAACATGTTTGTTATATTTTATTGTATAAAACATAACATTATATTCATAGATATATTTAAAAAAAAACACGAAATTAAGTAAATTATTTTTCCCGTGCAGTAAATACAAGTCGAATGATTGCAAGTAATAAGAAATGACGCCATTTAGAAAGATACTGTTGAGGGGATATTATTATATTTCAATGCTATCATTTATTCATTTCATTATTTATTATTCATTAATTTTATCATTAATTCATCACAATCTATAGAAAGCATATTAAAAGTCTATAGTCTATAAATTGCCTCATAGGGCATTACGATTACTGGATTTTGCCAAAGTTGTCGCTTGCAGACTGGTTCGCCAACGTAGATTTTATTATAATTTGATTTCATCAGGAATACTCTGCTGCTCATGTCCTGTTTCAGGTTCCCTCCCCCGACATCCAAAGGATGATATGGAGTTATGTTTTTTACGGCACCACTACACGACATTTAATGTTGTCATCATAATTGTCATCATCATTACAGCCCATAAAAGTATGCTCCTTAACATACGCCTCCCCCATCGATCGCCTCAAAGGGGGAATATTACATATTTACAACGCTGGTCTTACAGCGTGTTTTTTGAACTAAAATTATTTATATTCGTTATACAAACATACATAAACATAAACACTCACGCCTGTCACCCAGAGGTGTAGGCAGATACTACGGACTTACATTTGGCACGATCCTGACATACCTCTTTCGCCTCCTTTACATCCATATATCTACGCATACATGCTCGTCGGTTAAGGGTACTTCTAATGTGGCCATTTTCAAATTATCGCCAATTTGGTGGGTGAACTTTCTTCCAGGGCGTCCCTTCCCGACTCTGCCGTTCACACCTGCCATATAAATTTGCTTTGTTACTCTTTCCTCATTCATTCTTTATACATGACCAAACCACCGAAGTCTTCCTTTCTTAATCCTGGTCACAACATCATCTTGCACACCACATTTATCTCTTATCACGCAATTCTCCACCCCGTCATTCAGATTCAACCCTAGCATACTTCTTAAAGACCGCATTTCTACAGCATTTATTCTACTTTCGTGTTTCTTCTGCCACACCCAACTTTCACTACCATACATTAAAGTAGGGATTAACACAGCATTATGAATTACCATACGTGCCTTTTTGACACATTCTGATCCTTCATAATAGAGTTTTAGTGCTCCATTCACTCTATTCCCTGCATTTACTCATCGTTCTTTATACTTATCATATCTACCATCCCTGCTAAATACACATCCCAAGTACACGAGTACATCCACTTTCTCAATCAACACATACATCATACATATAGTTTAAAAAAAATGTTGGCTAAGTGTAGAAAAATTAAATCACAAAATCTGGTATCGATAGGTGGCAGTTATAAATAAATTTTACATTTATATTGCAAAAAATTTGGAAAAGGCTTAACAAAGAAATAATTCTGTTATTTTAAATATAACTTAAAATTGATAGAACGTAAATTAACTAGAATTGTCAGACACAAATGCTTACGCGCTTTAAGAGCCTTTAAAATGTATAAATAAAACAAAATAAAACGCCGCCGCCGAAAATTAACCGACTAAGTAGTTAATATAATACAGCATTAAGCAAAGAGTTTAAGTGAATAAAAAATTCCAAGTCTATTGCTTTAAATAAACGGCCGAATTCTTCCACGCATTAAACAAAACGTTGAACAAATTTACATGTTTTGTTCTTGCTAGTTATTTAACTTTGACTTAACTAACGATATTGTATTAAAATAAATAGACTATTAAAATGAATATTCAAAAGATGTTAACGGCATTGAAAATAATTATCCACTTTAACACTTCGTTACGCTTTCGAATATCGTAAAATATATTTAATAAATGATGGCATCATATTTAAAACCACCCTAAGAACCGTGCTCTTTTGTTCTTACAGGCGATTACGAGACAACTTATAAACACTTGCAAGCTTCTACTGCACAGTAAATATTATAGTGTTATAGGTTACGTGTAACCATGTAGTGGTGGTGTTACAATATCCACTACTACAACTACACTACTACAACTACAACAATATCCCCTATCTTCCCATGGGAGTCGTAGGAGGCAACAGAGGGAAAATAAACCAAGTGACGGGCAGCAGCATCTTCCTGATAACTGCTGTATAAAAAAACTGCAGTTGGAAACTCACTTGCCAAGCTTGCACCAGCAATAGATTTTTGATAGTCTATAATATTATAGGTTAACTTTTTTGCCTAATTGACTGCTATAACTTAACTTGACTGCTACGTTGGTCTAGTTGTTGTAGTAGTGCGACTGCTAATCATGAGGTCCTGGGTTCGAATGCCGGGTCAGGCCAAAAAATCATTTATTGAGTTTTTCTGTCAAGAAATTCTCAGTAGCTTCCCGGAGTCAGGAAGTTGGTGGTGTCTCACTCCCGTGCCTCGGAAAGCACGTAAAGCCGTTGGTCCTGCGCCTGATCTCTCTCCGGTCGTGCTGGTTAACCGTTCCATCGGATTATGTGAGTGAGGGAATGGAGAGTGCACCTGTGCTTGCGCATACACTTGGGCAGTCTTCGTTGAGGCAGGCCGCCGTGGCCGAAATTCGGTCTGGAGGACATTATTATTATTATTATTATGGGGTATCTATATAGTTTTCTCATCTGGTTGGGTTCTATAAATATATAATTATAAATGAAAATGAAAAAATAAATATACATAAATATCAATAACATAAAATAAATATAAAAGTACATAAATAAATAAAAGCCCAACCAGATGGAGGCCCTCGGCAGGGGAGACCAAACGGCCGAGGGTTAGGGGGAAAGGGGGAAAGAAACCGGCGGACGATGCGGGCGGTATCGAGGAGCACCGCCTTCTGCATTTGAACCTGGAGCGGTCCGCCACGTAGTCCCAGCCGCCTCAGATGACCCGAGAGGCTGACTGGGATTAGCCCGTTTGCAGAGACGACTACAGGAATAATTTCGGTCGGCAGACCACCCCACATGTCGGTCACCTCGTGAGCCAGGTCCAGATATTTTGTTTGCTTGTCTGTTTCGGCTTTCACGAGGTTCTCGTCATACGGAATGGTAATGTCGACCAAAAATATCCTTGACTGTGCCCGGTCCATCAGCACAATATCAGGCTTATTCGCAAGAATAGTCCTGTCTGCGATGATGGCCCGGTCCCAATAGAGCCTGGCGCGATCATTTTCGAGCACGGCTTCCGGCAAGTACTTGTAGTACGGCAATTTCCGGTCCACGAGACCGTATTTCAGAGCGAGCTCCTGGTGTAGAATTCTGGCTACTAGGTTGTGCCTGTGCAAGTACTCAGAGTTAGAAAGCGCCGAACAACCGGAGATAACATGCCTAAGTGACTCACCGGGATGGCGACAAGCTCGACAGATGTCGACGGTGCCATCCTTTAGGATGTATCTCCGATAGTTGTTGGTCTTAATAACCTGATCCTGTATTGCACAGACAAAACCCTCGGTTTCCCCGAAGAGATCACCAAAGCGTAGCCAGTGGAGGGAGGCTACTGTGTCTACGAAAGGCTCATGTAGAGCCTTGTAGAACCTCCCGTGGAGCTCCTTCTCCTTCCATACGGTCTCTCGGTCGGAAATGCTCTGCACTGCCGGGTCTTGCCATTGCTCGTTGGCTAAGGATAGAGGGGTAAGTCCTTTATCACAAGAAATGACGTCCATATAGAATGGATCATCCGATCTCGCTAGGAAGTAATCACGGAGGCTGCACACTTAGCGATTATGCATGGTGAGCGCGCTCAAGAAGCCACGACCACCATGCTTCCGCGACAAGTACAACCTCATTACCGACGATCTCGGATGATGCATCCTATGGGACGTCATGGTAGTGCGGACTTTTCTATCCAGGGCGTTAAGTTCAGTCTGAGTCCACCTGAGTATGCCAAAGGTATACATGAGGACAGGCATGACCCAGCCGTTATATGCGTGTGCCTTATTCACACCCGACAAAAGGCTGTTAAGCACATTGGTCAAGCGTGCATAAAACACGTCGCAAACTGACTGTTTCATACCAGTCTCATCGATACCGATGTTTTGTGACATACCCAGGTATCGGTATGTTTCAGCCTCGGAAAGGGTCCTTAAGTTGACGGGCATAGATAAGTCTACGCCCTCAGAGTTAGCAACCCTTCCCCTTTCAACATGGAGGACCGCACACTTATCCGTCCCAAGCTCCATTCCAATGGAATTGCTAAATTCACAAGTGATGTTTAGCAATATCATAAGATGGGAGCGACTGGAGGCGAATAACTTGAGGTCATCCATATAGAAAAGGTGGGTCACTTTTGTCCCTCCTCTCCGTAGCTGAAATCCCCTCCCGGAGCCCTCCAGTAAGGTACTGAGAGGGTTCAGAGAGAGGCAGAACCAGATTGGACTCAGACAATCGCCCTGGAAGATACCCCCTTCTTATCCTTATGTGGTTCTCCGCAGCTATCATCCGCTCGCCCAGATGACAAAGGATCGTACTCCACTGCCCCATACACTGCTCAAGGAAGTCTCTAACTGTACAGTCTATCGTGTACAGCTCGAGGACTCTCTTTAGCCATGTATGGGGCACCGAGTCGAATGCCTTTCTGTAGTCTATCCAGGCGGCGGAGAAGTTCCGACGGTTGCCGCTCACCACTTTGCCAATGACCGCGTCAATGAGGAGTGGTTCCTTGGTTCCACGACCACCGCCCCGACATCCATTTTGAGCGCGCGACATCACCTGATTTGAGTCCAGGTGACAAGTGATTCTCGCGCTCAAAATGGATGTTAGTGTCTTGTATATGGTCGGTAGACACGTGATGGGGCGGTATTTGCTCGGGTCTGTGGTACCCTGGTCTTTAGGAACCAAATGAGTGATCCCAGTAGTGAAGAGGCTTGGGAGCGACTTCTGGTTGGGACAAACTGACATTTGTCCCAGCAAACGCCATCCTGACGGTGCGCACAATTCTTGGCCTGTTGTTGCCTGATCTGAAGCATATCAGTCTGCCGATGAGAGCTCTAGCCTTTGCGATACGTTCCTCAATTCTTCTTCTCCATGCTGGGATAGCGCTACTATGGCCAGTAGCGCGTCCAGCCGTGGAAACCTTAGCGCCTATGATACGGCAGACTGCCAGCGCGGCGCCAAAAAGAATTGAGTCCGTCTCGCAAAGGTCCCGGCTGGCTTCCAAATAGGTCACCAGCATTGGGTTCAGAGCCCTCACGACAGCCCGATTCCGCTTGCTTAGGGCTATGCGGGGAAGTCGCGGTCGATTTTCGAGAGGCGTACTGCGCGTTTCCACAATCGCCTCTTCCAATGTACTCCTCATATGCTCTAATTCCAGTTCCTGGGCGACTGTTCCATCATCGTTTGAATCAACCACAACTGGGGTATTCACGGCGGCATCCACGTTTGCGGGTTGCTCTACCATTTGTGGCGCCGCATCCTCAGCCGTAGCATTCTCATCCGACGAGGGAACAGCCTCACGTCGTAGCCGTTCGAGTTCGGCGACATCAAATATATTTGAGCGCAAGATATACCGAACTCGGTCTGCCAGGTTTTGCTCTGTGACGGTTAAAGATGGCTCCAGCTCAGCAAAAAGACGATGCATCCTAGCCCGATACGCCAAACATCCAGTTTCTCTCCCTTTCGCCCCAAAATACGCCCGCAATGCGTTGCTGTTCATCTGGGTTGTCCAACGCATGCGGCGTACTCCACCAGAGGCGGGTGCCGATTGCTGGGCCCGCGAAGACCCTGCCGACACCAAGCCAGCTGGTGGGGATGATGGATGCGAGGGGCTGCTGGGTGGTCGTGCAGCACCTCGCGCTCGGCTGGCGGTTCGCATGCTGCCGCGTCCAGCGCCAGCTCCAGACGCGCCCTGGCGACCTCCAGGCAGCGGCCCTTTGCGCGTTCTTCCGTATTCCATCATCCATAGTGGTGGGCGTCATTTAGCGGGAGACGCCCAGACCCGGCGCCGTTTCATGGTGAGGCCATGTGCACAAGCGGGCCTTTGCACCTTCAATTTTTGCCGAGGCACGGCACTAACACCTCTTGGCAAGGTGCTGACTGACTGCGCTGACGTAGCGGTTTTGTCACATAACCGTTACGTCAGCGGGCTATGGGGTCGTCACTTCCCTACGCCTTTTTATTATTATTATGGGGTATCTATATAGTTTTCTCATCTGGTTGGGTTCTATAAATATATAATTATAAATGAAAATGAAAAAATAAATATACATAAATATCAATAACATAAAATAAATATAAAAGTACATAAATAAATAAAAGCCCAACCAGATGGAGGCCCTCGGCAGTGGAGACCAAACGGCCGAGGGTTAGGGGGAAAGGGAAAGAAACCGGCGGACGATGCGGGCGGTATCGAGGAGCACCGCCTTCTGCATTTGAACCTGGAGCGGTCCGCCACGTAGTCCCAGCCGCCTCAGATGACCCGAGAGGCTGACTGGGATTAGCCCGTTTGCAGAGACGACTACAGGAATAATTTCGGTCGGCAGACCACCCCACATGTCGGTCACCTCGTGAGCCAGGTCCAGATATTTTGTTTGCTTGTCTGTTTCGGCTTTCACGAGGTTCTCGTCATACGGAATGGTAATTTCGACCAAAAATATCCTTGACTGTGCCCGGTCCATCAGCACAATATCAGGCTTATTCGCAAGAATAGTCCTGTCTGTGATGATGGCCCGGTCCCAATAGAGCCTGGCGCGATCATTTTCGAGCACGGCTTCCGGCAAGTACTTGTAGTACGGCAATTTCCGGTCCACGAGACCGTATTTCAGAGCGAGCTCCTGGTGTAGAATTCTGGCTACTAGGTTGTGCCTGTGCAAGTACTCAGAGTTAGAAAGCGCCGAACAACCGGAGATAACATGCCTAAGTGACTCACCGGGATGGCGACAAGCTCGACAGATGTCGACGGTGCCATCCTTTAGGATGTATCTCCGATAGTTGTTGGTCTTAATAACCTGATCCTGTATTGCACAGACAAAACCCTCGGTTTCCCCGAAGAGATCACCAAAGCGTAGCCAGTGGAGGGGAGGCTACTGTGTCTACGAAAGGCTCATGTAGAGCCTTGTAGAACCTCCCGTGGAGCTCCTTCTCCTTCCATACGGTCTCTCGGTCGGAAATGCTCTGCACTGCCGGGTCTTGCCATTGCCCGTTGGCTAAGGATAGAGGGGTAAGTCCTTTATCACAAGAAATGACTATTTTTAATAATAATAATAATAATAATAATAATAATAATAATAATAATAATAATAATAATAATAATAATAATTATTATTATTATTATTATTATTATTATTATAGGTTAACTTATAAGCCCTAACCTTGCAGATATCATAGCCTCTTTTTACAATGCGTTCTGTCTTTTTAAAGCAAGTTACTGGATGCGTTTTTAAACCTAATATGAATTGCGCCACGGCCTTTTATAATAATAGTAATAGTTTAATAGTAAAACTTTAAATAGTAATAGTTTAAAGTAATATTTTATAGTAATAATAATAATAGTTTAATAGTAAAAACTCATGAAAGCCGAAACAGATAAGCAAACAAAATATCTGGATCTGGCTCACACAGTGGCCTGTAATAATTTCTGTCGTTATTCTTGTAGTCTTTTCTTAGAACGGGCTAGTCCCGGTTCAATTCTTGGTTTATTTGAGGTGACTGCTACTTAGTGACGGACCACTTTGGTGTCAAATCCATAAGGCTCCTAGACACCACCCGAATCGTCCACCAGTTACTTTCCCCTTTCTCCCTAATCCTCGGCCGCATGATTGTTATGTAAGAATATCTAACACCCCATTTTGTCCCATAAATGTTACCAGAGGCGAATGTCACAACAAACATTACATATAACCGTAACGTTAACGCTAGACGTAAAATTTCCAAACTGGCGATGAGGAAAGGCGTCTTGATGCGATACATCAGGGGTACTATCCGATTAACCGACTGCCTAGCGCAGCGATTAAGGTAAATCTGTACTAAGATTTTAGAAAAAGAAATCAAGACACTTATTTATGTGGTATGGTATAAAATTGTTCGTATTTTATACCACCGCAATAATATGGTGCTTAACCTGTAGCTATATTGTGGATGTAACACGAATGGGTCGGCTCAACCAGAAAAGGATTACGCTCTCACAAAACACCGGCATAAAATAGCAGCGAATTGCTGTTGTATTTCCTATTATGTGTATAAAGAACTGGAGACCATGTTCGCTGGACTACTCATCTGCATTTTGATGCTAAACCGAGCACAAATTAAGATGTCTGTCGACAATAGTACCCACTTACCATCAGGTGTGTGCTCAGTTGTCACACTTATTATATAAAAAATGATTATACGTGGTAGAGTTACGCAGCTATATTATATGTCGGCTTACCACACACCACCACATACTAACGTAAAATAACAGGTTAATGCTGTTGTGTTTCGTTTAGTGGGTATAGACAACCGGAGACGCTTTTTACTGCAAACGAAGTCCATCTTAGTCCTAGAAGGTGAAAATGATTCTGCACTTTTAATTCTTAATTTAGGATAGATGTAGATGTTCATAGACCTCAGCTTTGACTTACCACTTAAGTGTGACAAACTAGCGTTCGAACATAATAGAATAGAATCATTTTTATTAAATATAGATTAGAAGAATACTTATTGAAAGTTTTTTAAGCTTTACCACTGGTGCGAAAAACCTTTATCCTGGGAAAAACCAAGAAGATACCCAACGGGACTTTTATTAACATCATTTACAATATAATATTTAATACATATGTGGCTTCGTACGCGGTAGGAGGTTAAGTAGGAAAACGTTATGATAGAGAGAGAGGTTGTTATCAATCATGTACTCTTTAGTAGTATAATATTATTATTAAACAATAAATAATAAAAGTAAATTACAGTCATTCCAAGACCTAAGACAGCATAAACATGTGATTGCAGAATTGCGCTCTGAATGTGTATCCTAGGAGATTTTTCCGGGATAAAAATTGCCTATGTCACTCTCTATTAAAAATCATGTCCATCTGGCTTCTTAAAGAATAAAAACTTAACAAAAACACTTTCGTAATTGTAATATTAGCATTTGGTAATAAAACTCTTCTTCTTCATCATCATCAGAAAGTAAAACTCCGCTGTCGTACATGAAGCTTTCCCGTTGTAAGGAAGATTGTGTTAATCGTCACGTTTTGCAGTCGGATTGACGATCGTTTACTTCAGAAACATGGACCCCGCTGACAAATACTCTTACTGTGATTTCCTCTGAAATATTTGTACAAACAAATATTTTAGTCAAAACAAAAGGAAAATATTATTATTCAAATATGCATTTACAAAGCTCTTCTGAAAGTTAAAAATGCTACGCCATCGCTTTAACAGGCTAACGCGGGAGACTGTGAGAAAAAAAGATAAGAACTTCACGGGTAGATTGTTTTTCATTCGAATGAAACAAATGCCGATTTTAGGTAAAATAACTCGATAATATTTAAAAAAAATTGTTGTAAATAGTGATATTCGTACGTATAAAAAGAGCGTTAGTTTTATGAAGCTTCTTGTGTTACGTCACATTATAAACTCATATGCGTCATTAATTTCACTTGACCAAACAATAACCAACTTAACTCTTTCACAGGGTTCAAAATTCTCTAAGGAACGACAATATTTCACTTATTGTTGAGTCTCTACTTGTTAATCAACATAGAGATTTTAAAATTTGCATATTTTAAAATGATAATTTCAACGATGTAGCAATGAAGAATCAGTCAACTCATCCGCACGAGTTATGAAATTATACGCAGATTAGCTAACGCTCATGACGCATGAAATTTAAATTTGAAACCATAGAATTGGTTATTTTAAACAAACAATCACGAATTTTAATTTATATGAAATACTCAAACTAAATTATTGGATTCATTTAACCGTTTTCGAATGATTCGTTTTTACCGCGTAGTGGCGGTGTAAGAATATAGTGGATATTCTCTTACTCCTTATCGTTCCGAGAATGTCGTAGGAGTAGACAGAGAAAAATAAAACAGGAGGTGGGCAGCAGCATCTTCCTGATAACAAGTCAAAATAATAAAAATCTGCGCTTGCCAACCCGCTTGCCAAGCATGGCAACTTTGGCAAAATTTCCTTATGAGGGCTTATGTTTAGCAGTGGGTAAGCTATAATAAGCTATAATGGATATGGGTGGATTGAGCCGATTGAAACACAAATATTGTCGCATAATATTAGTACTGCCGGTTCTCTGAAATAAGCAGTTTTATTTTATTAATAATATTGCTTACTAGCTTTTGTCCGCGACTTCGTCCACGTAGAAGAAAATGGTTCTAATAGGATTTTTAATAGTTTTTTTAATTTTTTTAATTTTGTTGTAACATATAAATTATTATGTTAAAATGTATGAATATTTATAAATTATAACAAATCTTCATTATTATGTTAGGTTAAATAAACATGAAAGTAAAATAAAATTTTGTTATATTTATAAACGACGGCTCCGTGGCGCAGTGGCTTAGCAATGAGTTACAGCGCTGGGGGTCGCGAGTTCGAATCAACAACAACAATCGAACAAGTATTTGTACGCCCTACAAGTAATTGTTCCGGGTCTGGATGTTTGTCCCTGTAAAATATATGTTTGTAAACTGCCCCCACGATACATGAGAAAAATCCTAGTGTCGAGGTAACGTTTTATAAAAAAATAAAATAAAAATAAAACATAAACACGAAGCTCTTCATTTGATCTGGTGAAAGTGACACGGGGGTATTATCTTTTTACAACGAAATTGAAATACTTCACCTACCATAGTATTTCTTTGTTCAAAATATTTTTAGTTTTCCTTGGGGTCATAGAATCACCAGGCATGCCACTTACAACTGACCGTGGTGAAGCAGCTTCCTCTCAAGTCTACTGCCGCT